ATTAGAATAAAGAAAATCTGTGAAAATCCCATTCTGTTGGAATCCTTGCCTCACGGCTACTGATTCCGTCCGACCAATACGAACCATCCCAAAGGGGCAAATTTCTAATATCCTTTCTTTTTTTAAAAATATTTTTCTTGTTTCGCGACGGTCAAGGTAGTTTGCAGGTAGTATTTAAGTACAGCCAGTACGAGTAAATACTACCGGCCACGCCAGACGACCGCGTGCGTTACATGTACATGCTTTTTTTCATTGGTTATGAAGTACATGAACATAATTTACATATTAAATAACATGTTGAGCAAGATAAGAGATAAAATTAAAGCAACTTGTTATTTTTCTAGTGCCGAAAGCAATGGTTTACTTGCCATTATTGTTTTGATTATGCTACTTGTTGTGGCACCTCGTATCTTTACATGGTACTGTGGGTTTTATCCTGAACCAGTAGACCATACGAAAGATATTGCATTACTGGAAAAAAACTTGAAGGTATTGCAACAACATGCCAGTAAGGTAACGCTTATAAATATTAATACTGCTACTGCTCAAACATTAGTAAAAAAATAGCTGGAATAGATGAAAGTTTAGCAAAGAGAATTATACAGTATAGGAATAAACTAGGCGGATTTGTTTTATTAGACCAGTATGAGGAAGTATATGGTATGTCAAATGCTATACGGTTGAGGTTAACCAAACAGACAATTATTGCTGACAACTATCTGCCCAAACAGCTCTCTTTAAACTATGCAACCTTCAAGGAACTCGTTGCCCATCCTTATATTTCATCTGCTATGGCAAAAGCTATTGTAACGTATAGAAAAAAGAAGGGGAAATTTACTGCCGTAACAGCTATTCAAAAACTACCTAGCTATGAACCCACTTGGGGGAAAAAAATAAGGCCCTACTTATCCCTTTAGTTAGTCATAGCCTATGATAGGTAAAATAGAAGTTTCCAAAAATTTATTACCTTTAAGAATTCCTATATTACTATTTCCACAAACCCAACAGATAGTGAATAACTTACGTAAGTAACTAGTACTTTTTTAATCTATCCAAATGAAATCTAAACAAATACGAGACAAATTTATACAGTTTTTTTCAAAACGTGGCCACCACCACGAAGCAGCCGTTCCTATTGTAAACAAAGAAGACCCTTCTTTACTTTTTGTTAATGCGGGCATGAACGTCCTTTAAAGATATTATCCTGGGCAATCAACCAGTCATCTTTCCCCATGTGGCTAGTGTACAACCTTGCTTGTGGGTGTCTGGCAAACACAATGACCTTGAAGAACTAGGCGTAGATACCTACCACCATACCTTATTCGAAATATTGGGAAATTGGTCATTTGGTGATTATTTTAAACAGGAAGCCATACATTGGGCTTGGGAGCTGCTTACAGAAGAGTATAAACTTCCTACAGATTGTTTATATGTAACCATTTTTGCTGGAGATACTGCAGATGGGTTGCAACAAGACCATGAAGCAATAGCTATTTGGGCCAATTACTTGCCGAAAGAGCGCATCTTACCCTTTTCTAAAAAGGATAATTTTTGGGAAATGGGCGAACAGGGTCCTTGCGGTCCCTGCTCAGAGATTCATATAGATATTCGCTCAGAAGCGGAACGTAAGGCAGTACCAGCTGCTCACTTGGTAAATAGAGATCACCCGCAGGTTATTGAAATTTGGAATTTGGATTTTATGCAATACAATCGCCTTGTTTCGGGGAAGTTGGTCGACCTACCTCATAAGCATATCGATACTGGCATGGGATTTGAACGGTTGGCCATGGTGTTACAAGGTAAAACATCTAATTACGATACCGATGTGTTTACTCCCCTCATAGAAAAATTAGAGATACTTTCTGGTAAAAATTATAACCAAAACCCAACCATTGATGTCGCTATGCGCGTTATTGTAGACCATGTACGTGCTGTAGTTTTTTCTATTGCCGATGGACAACCCCCTTCCAATACAAAAGCAGGGTATGTGATTCGTCGTATTCTACGCAGAGCCATTCGATATGGATATAGTCATTTGGAAATTCAACAGCCTTTTATGCACAAATTGGTAGCTGTTTTAGTGGAACAAGTAGCAGGTGTTTATCCAAACCTAACCATGCAACAACATTATATTGAACAGGTTATTGAGGCGGAAGAGATGGCTTTTTGAAAGACTTTAATTAGTGGCTTACAGTTGTTAAGCCAATTAGATCAAACTAAAATATGCCATGGTGTTATAGATGGGCAGGTAGCTTTTGAACTGTATGATACCCATGGATTTCCCTTAGATTTGACCTTACTAATTGCTAAAGAACAGGGACTAACCATCGATGAAGTCGGGTTTCAACAAGCATTGCAACAGCAAAAATTGCGTTCACAAAAAGATGCGGCTACCACTCAAGGTGATTGGCAAATCGTGCAAAAGGAAACACATCCTTGTTTTGTAGGATATGACCAATGTATAGTTACTACTTCTATTGTACAATGGCGTACTATTGCTAATAAACGAGGGAGTTACTACCAAGTAGTATTAGAAGCCACACCTTTTTTATCCAGAAGGAGGGGGGCAGGTAGCTGATGTTGGATGTATGGTATCCAATAATGAGTCTATTCCTATAGTAGATGTACAGAAAGAGCATGAGTTAATTGTACATACCATTCCTCAGCTTCCTACTCACTTAACCGGTTGCATAGAGGCTCGTGTAGATAAAGTACAGCGAACTTTAACTGCCAATAATCACACTGCTACCCATCTTTTACAGGCTGCACTTGAAGCTGTTCTAGGTGACCATGTGAACCAAAAAGGTTCCTTTGTTACACCAACGGTTTTACGTTTTGATTTTGCACACCCTACAAAGTTATCTTTAGCGCAATTGCACGAGGTAGAAGCTATGGTAAACCAAAAAATTAGGGAAAATATCCCTTGTGTTGAGCAACGTACAGTTCCACTAGATACTGCTAAGGCTATGGGCGCACAAGCGCTATTTGGTGAAAAATATAGCGCTGATGTACGTGTGATTACCTTTGATCCAAACTTTTCCATAGAGCTTTGTGGGGGTACGCATGTAAAAACTACAGGACAAATTGGCTTTTTTAAGCTGCTCAGTGAAACTGCTGTAGGTACAGGCATCCGAAGAATAGAAGCCATAACAGCTAGCAGTGCCAAAGCATTTGTAACAAACCAATGCACTACGCTAGCAGCCATAACCACGTTACTAAAACAACCTAAAAATGTGATCAAAGCTGTAGAAACTTTGGTTTATGAAATAAATCAACTACAAAAACAGGTGACAGCTTACCAAGCCAAAGCCATTCAGCAAGTAGCGGATGAACTACAATGTCACTTGGAACAAATAAATGATATATACCTACTAGTTCAAGAAGTTCAAGTGCCCCATGCAACAGCTTTAAGGCAAATTGTATTTCAGTATAAAGCTCATTATGACAAAATTTTTATAGTCCTAGCTGCTAAACTGGCAGATAAAGCAGAAATAGCCATGTTTGTATCAGATGTCTTATGGCAAAGTGATACCAAGCATGCCCATGATTGGATACAATCTTTAGCACCACTTATTGGAGGTAGTGGGGGAGGGCAGCCTTTTTTTGCAACAGCCGGAGGAAATACACCAGAAGGGATAAAAGAAGTATTGAAAGCAGCAAAAGAACTTTTATAAAAGACCTATTGCGTGTAAGTACCCCCAAAAATAACTAATTCTGCCATTGTCTTTTTATGCCACCTTGTTCTTGCAGAAAATGTTAAAATTCGTAACTTTGAAGTAGGCGTTCCGATATATTTTTGTAAGAACGCTAAAATATTTAATTTTATGAGTGCAAACGTTTTAGATATTACAGATAGTCAGTTTCATAATGTAATTAGCCAAAATGATGTTTGTTTTGGTTGATTTTTGGGCACCTTGGTGTGGGCCTTTTATGAGACTTAGCTCTGTTATTGAGCAACTTGCTGACTTTTATAAGGGAAAAGCAGTGGTCTGTAAACTACATATAGATAATAATGTGCTAATTCCTGCTCAATATAACATTAAGACTATACCTACCATGGTTTTTTTTTCATAAAGGTGTTGAGGTAGAACGTCTAGTCGGTTATCTTGCCATAAATGAAATGCAAAAAGTTATAGATAAATATATTTGCATTAAAGGAGTATAGCCATTTTGTTATTTAGCAAAATACAAAAATTGGCTTGCAAGAAATCAATCGTCCTTATGGGGATAAATAAACATTTTCTTTTATTCATTTAAAATTTACTTGGCTTCCTAAACATGCGTCTATACTCGAAGTTACGTTTTTAGGCGTTTTCTAACCATGCATTCGATTACTAAAAATCTTAGGGAATTTGTTTCACATTTTGTAAAGCAGTACAAATGGCAATTTTTTGCCATGGCTTGTTTTCGCATGTGTTTCGTATTGGACAACCTAGTCATTCCATACACTTTTAAATCACTCCTAGCACGTCTTACTGCATTAGATGGAGATGGAAATAGAACAAACACTTGAGTAAAACTTATTGGCCCACTATTGGCCTTATTGTTCCTTTTAGTTTTGAAAGATACGTTGTTTCGTCTATTTGACTATATGCAAATTAAGACGATTCCTTCTTTTGAGGCAAGAATACGTACTTGGATTGTTTCTTATTTACAGGGCCATTCTTATCAATTCTTTATGGAACATTTTGCTGGAGATTTGGCTATGCGCATTAATGATTTGACTAAAGGAATTAGTCAAGTTATGATGAGCATTATGTCATCATTTTTACCAACATTTTTCACAATACTCTTTGGTGTAATTTATTTTGCTTGTATTCAGCCTATTTTTGGTATTGTATTAGTTATTTGGCTTATCCTACATATAATCACTTACTTTTATTATGCAAAAAAATGCAACCACTGTACAGCATTATAAGCAGAAAAAGTGAGCTTGCTATCTGGAAGTATTGTAGATGGTTTTAGTAATATATTAAACATAAAGTTATTTGCTAGAAAAAAACAAGCCATAGAACACCTAATGACTCCACAAATGTTGGAAAAGAAAGCACATGAAAAGGCTTTAATGGTTATTATGTGGTTACATTGTTTAATTAGTGGGCTTTCCATTACCTTCATGGGCATAGGGCTACTTTTCTACTTAATTTATTATTGGCAACGTGGCAAGCTGACCATCTCGGAAGTTACCTATGTTTTTTATGCAGGAAGTAATATTTCTAATTTGATATGGACATCGGTATCAGAATTTCCTGATTTTTTTCAAGAAATCGGATATTGCAAGCAGGCATTAAAATTACTACAAGAAGGTGGTAGATGTACCCGGTGCCCCTCCCCTTGATTGCAAAGGTGCCGCAATTAAATTTAAATATGTTTATTTTTCGTATGAACCAAATAATCCTTTATTTATAGATAAAAATGTTTCCATAGCAGCTGGTGAAAAAGTGGGATTAGTGGGTCTATCTGGTAGTGGGAAAAGCACTTTTGTTAATTTACTTTTGAGGTTTTTTGATATCCATAAAGGAGTAATTACTATTGATGATCAAGATATATCTACCGTTACACAAGAATCATTGCGTGCAGCTGTTGCCTTTATACCACAAGATACAACATTGTTCCATGGTAGTATATTAGAAAATATATGTTACGGACGAAAAGAGGCAACGGATAATGAAGTAATGGAATGTGCTAAGAAAGCAAAATGTCATGATTTTATCATGAGTTTACCAGCAGGATACCATACCTTAGCGGGTGAACTAAGCTTTCTGGCGGTCAACGCCAGTGCATAGCTATTGTACGCGCTATGTTAAAAAATGCACCTATCTTAATATTAGATGAGGTAACTTCGGCATTGGATGCTGTTACAGAAACGGAAATTCAAGAAAGTATGTCTCTCGCTACGGAAAATAAAACTACTATTGCGATTGCCCATAAGTTGCCTGTTTTGCATACCATGGATCGGATTTTAGTATTTGATGAAGGTAAAATAGTAGCTCAAGGACCACATAATCTGTTGTTAACCATTAGCCCTCTTTATGTTGCTATGTGTAAGTTGCAGTCAGAGGGGATGCATAACTTTTAAGACTGATTCCAATAACTGCACAATATTTAGTACACCTTACTAAAAAAATAGTAGAGCTCTTTCAAAACTCGCTTATGGTGAGAAATTTGTAGGAGATACGGAACGGAGAACCACAGCGTACTGGATGTAAGTGAGTGGATGCCCCACCGTGGAAGCCACGACGGGGACCCTGATTCGAGTACCGGATCAACGCCCAAATTACCAGCAGAAGTAAGTTTTGCAAGAGTTCTAGTGATTGGTGGCCTTAAGCTTTAGCTTAGTAGTGCTATTTCAACTATTTTTTTTGTACTCCTGCTTTACAACAGATCGTATCCGGAATATGTATTATTTGCTCGGCGTAGGTGGGAACGTTCGGCATCAGTACTAGAAAGTGAAGTTGAACTTTGAGCTGACCAGGATGACCTTTCATATTAATCTTGAACCCAAATTCATGTGAGATATATAAATCGAAAGACCTGAATTCCCTCTGTTAGAATTCGTTTTCATGTCGCAAAACTGCGACATTTGATAAGTGACATTTGTCGCAGGTTTAAGATGCTTTCCTAACGCACAGGAGCTGTATCCATCTGACAATGGCTTGAAGCGAAGGTTCGAACCATCGACGCTAGATGGCGCCAAGGTAGTCCCTGAAACGTGTCATTTCCTGATACAGCTGGAATTAGTCACCAATACTTTTCACAATGTAGCAGATCTTTCTTCACACAAACCAGAGCGAGAGACACTCGAATTCTTGAAAAAATCTGTCATTAGAGGTAACATAGTCTCAAGGAGTTTCCAGAGAACTCTAGCTCAGACGATGAAGGGAGGATGATTCAAGTACCAAGATGACTGCACGGAAAGTGGTTTTAGCGACCAGCATCATCTCTCAAATTTAATGGAGTATTCTCATGGAGAGTGTTTAAACGGAGGGGCCTCCTCTATGGCGTGAGTCGCTGCACCCATACAGGCGCATCCCTAGTCTTGTTGAAGTCACACCAGCAAGGTTTTTTAAAGCAGACACAGAGGAGAGGGGCGGACAAAAGAGGCAAAATGCCCCAGTCTATATGCCTGGGGACATCCACGCTGGGAACCAACCTATCACGTTATTCATTCTGAGGTGCGGGACTGTCCCAAGATGGCGGAGGCACTTGTAACTCTCGAGGCAGCGAAGGAATCTCCAGAGACATCTACATGCACTCCATGGGTATTCCTAACGAGATGTCTGACTCCTGAATATGAGATAGCTGATGAAAAGATAAAAACTTCTATTATGAATTTGAATTTCCACACGCTTATCCACCAGACTCTCACAGACAATGTAGGATTGTGGTATCAATCCTACCGATCGGCAACATTTAAGATCTTTGTCCGAGCTACGTGAGCAGGGCGCTACTTAGACTGAATGCAATTTAAGTGAAGAAAAGAACCAATCCAAAACGTTAATTGTATATGGGATGAATCCTAAAAAAAAAAGTTTTATTGAATAGTTTCCCTGGAAATATATTATTCACGTAGTTCCAGGAACTCATAATTTGAACTGTTTTCATTGCTTTGAATCTTGAACATTTAACCAGTTAATAGAACGTTTCCAAGGACATTAAGGGAACGCTTTGGGTAACTTGAATGAAACGTTCATTGAACACGTTCAGGTCCTACTTGGGTGGTGGTCTCTGAAGGTCATAGTGATTCTTTCCACGACAAAAGAGTATTTCCTTTCCTCCGGTTTGCAGCAGGTTTTACCTACCACTAGGTTTATTTATCTATGTTACCAATGGAAAACAAGAACTACATACTTAAATAAGAATGTCTCCGATGTACTGTCTACTCACTGATTTTTCCCACAACAATGAAACATGATTCGCAATGTTTTCCTGACTTTTGGCTCCTTGTAACACAGTCCCACTTTTTCCCTCACACTTATAACTGTCCTTTTCCCCATTACTGGATAATAAACTCTCTTGAACAATCGTCTTGAGAAACTTTGAAGGAAAAGAGGCGTTTCCATTCTCCAAAAGAAAGAAAAGTAGAAACAGAATTAGGTCAGGAGTCAGGAGTCAGGAGAGTTAGTGATATCAAGAGGCGATTTCGCCCATTTCGATATCACGTGTCGAGGTCGAGCGTTCCTTAATTTTAGGGTAGGCCTAACCCTCTTCAAGCTATATATTTTTGTATTTTTGTTTTGTTTTGTTTTTTTTTTTGTTTTTTTTTTATTATTATTATCCTAGTTGCTTACTGTCTAGTACCTACGTCAACATTGCCCCCCACCTTTTTGCCTGTCCATGAAAGCATCTAGTTTCTTCTTAAAGATAGTCACAGAAGGGGCAGCCACTACTTCGTCATCTAACGCATTCCACGCGTTCACCACTCTGCAAGTAAAGAATTCCTGTCTCGACCTGAGCCGCACCTGCGGTTTGCGCAACTTAAGTCGGTTACCTCTCGTTCTCTTGCTGTCATCAAACTGGAAAAACCTACCACACTCGACAT